GTGTATGAGTCATGAACTTTGCATTCTTATGATATCATCACTACTGTTTTTTTTTTTTAATCAAGTAACAGAAATACATCATAGATGCTGTTCACCTCTAAACTGGTGATGGTGTCATTGTTTCATAGCAGGACCCGGGAGATATTTGTAACTATGATGGCAGTGTGTACTAGATGAGTGTGCAAAGAACAATGGGTTAGAAATCAGTGGCCCTTGGTTTGAATAATTCCAGGTCTGCAAATTAATGTCTGTGAAACTCTAGGCAACTTGCTTAACCTCTCTGGGCCTCTCCATTGAATCATCTATAAAATGAGATGGTGGCCTACAAGAGGAACTGCTATATCAGCAATTCTCAAACTTTTTGGTCTCAGGAACCCTTTGTACTCTTAAAAATTGGAGATTCTCTACAGAGCTTTTGTTTACATGAGTTACATGGCTATCATTACTTAGTGTTAGAAATTAAAACATTATTATTTTGTTGTCGTTGTTGTTAAGGTGTTTGTCATGTCTGACTCTTTGTGACACTTTTTGGAGTTTTCTTGGCAGAGTTGCTGGAGTGGTTTGCCATTTCTTTCTCCAGCCCATTTTACAGATGAGGAGCTGAGGCAAACAGGGATAAGTGACTTGCCTAGGGTCACACAGCTAGTATTTGAAGCCAGATTTGAACTCAGGAAGATAAGTCTTCCTGATTCTAAGCCCAGTGCTCTATTCACCTAGCTGCCCTAGTGTTATTACAAAAATAAATTTTGCCTCTACGATCCCCTGAAAAAATCTCAGAATCCCTTAGTGGTCCCTGGACCACACTTTGAGAATCACTGGGCTAGATTTCATTGTTGTTATCACAATGTTCTTTTCAGTCATGATACAAACAATGCATGATAAAGTAGAATGCAGATTAAAAACTCTGCAGGCTGCCTGGGAGACCTAGCCTTCTGCTGACGTAGCCAATATCTGCAAAGCCCTGACTTAACTCACAAAGTGGTCCATACATGCTGCTCACAACAAGAAGGCTGCTTAAAACCATATCTGAAGGAAAACTGCCCCTATCTTGAGAGCAACAATGAAATCACCAGCTAAGAGCTGGTGAGATTCCTAGTCTGAATTCCATTTTCTGTTTCCTCCTACCTAGCCTGAATCTCAATTCCTGACCAGTAGTCATGTACTTGGACTCTTCTCGAGACTAAGTAATTTGGACCTCTAGAAGTCAACTCACTTTACTTCCTGTCCAAATACCCTGCTTTTTCTGTGTCCCCAAGTCTAAATTGCTCCTTGAGATATCAATCTTTGGCTCATAGATCTTAACCACATTTTCCCTTGGATTTGATTAATGAATTCCCACCCTTAGCCATCTGCTTTGAGCTGGAAGTTTGTCCGTGTCTTCCAGTTTGGCCTGACACCCTAGACTTTTATCTTGACCTTAGCATCAGGACTTACAATCCTCCCCTGACTTGGCCTTTAGCCCTACATTTTCCTGTCCTCACCGTGGCCGCTCATAACTGAAAAATCTCATGCATCTGACGCCATCTCTCCATTCACAAAGCCACCTCCCTAGTTTATTACCTCTTACTTTCATCTCCTCTCACCTAAACTATTGTAATTGCCTCCTAATTGGTTTCCCTGCTTCAGGACTCTACCCCTCTTCAATCCATCATCAATATAGTTTTAAACACCACTAGGTATTCCTTACTTTTCCTCACATGATGAACTTCAATCTTTTATTTCTGGGCCTTTGCATAAACTGTCCTCTGTACCTAAAATCCCATCCTTCCTTTTCTCCCCCTCTAGAATCTCTAGTCTTCCTTGAAGCTAAGCTTGAATATTTTCTATTACATGTGACTTTCCTGGCCCTCCTCTATAGACGCAAGTACCTTCCCAAAAAATATTAGCTTGTATTTTTTGTATATATTTATACATGTAAACATTGTTCCTATTATAGATTTTGAGGACAGGAACTGCTTGATTTTTGTTTTTTATTATCAGCACCTAGCACAGTGCCCAGCAAGTGATAGGCTTATTGATTGATTGATTATTAAAACATGCAGATCAGCTAGATCAGGAGTGTCAGACACATGATCCAGAGGCCTCATTCAGCCCATAATACGTCTAAGTGTGGTATGAACCAGATTAAAATGTAATTGGTAAATATTTAACAAAATAGTATTTTTTTAAAAAACTACATATATGGTTTTTAAGTCAATAAATATGTGGCCTTGCAGTGATCCTTATGTATGGTTTAATGACCCCCATTTCTTATTGAGTTTAACACTGCTGATCTAGACCAAGGACTCATAGCCTAAGTTTCATGAACTTATTTTTAAAATATTTTGATAACTGGATTTCAACATAACTGGGGTTTTTGGTAATGCTATGTATTTTTTTTATGTACTTAAAAACATTATTTTGAAAAGGAAGGGTCTGTAAGTTTCACAATCCTGTCCAAAAGATCCCATGACAGAAGAGCTCTTTACCTAGCCAATTCACCAGTAAACTTCTGGTAAATAAAGAAGGAATGTGAATTATCACATCGACTCCATTGTCTTCAAATACTGTCGTGGTAATGAAGTATATGACTTTTCAATTTCATTTTACTAGTGAGGATGTGATTAGGACTTACTTGATAAGAATGACTCACTGTCCTACTAGTTAATCACAGAGAAGCAACTCAGTTAACATCTTGGGGTTAGGTTTGTTTTACCATAATGTATTATTAACTTGAGGGCAGCTAGGTATGGCAATGGGTAGAGTGCCTAGCCTGGAATCAGGAAGACTCATCTTCATGAGTTCAAATCCAACATCAGACATTTACTAGCTGTGTGACCCTGGGCAAGTCACTTAACCCTGTTGCCTCAGTTTCCTCATCTGTCAAATGAGCTGGAGAAGGAAATGGCAAACCACTCTAGTATCTTTGCCAGGAAAACTCCAAATGGGAGTCATGAAGAATCAGACATGACTAAAACAAGTGAACACAACTGTCAAATAAATATTCCAGATATTATTTTTATGTTATAGATAAGGAAATTGATGCTCATAGAAGTTAAGTATGTGTTGGAGGTAGGATTCCAGCCCATGTCTCTGCTGTCCCAAGTCCAATGTGTGTTGTACTATACCATACTCTCTGAAGCAAGGCATAAATTATCAATACCTTTTCCATCTCCTGGTGACCCTTAATGCAAGGGATACTTATAGACACAAGTATCTTAATGTTCAGATTAATTTAAGAAGCAGCGGTTAGGTGCAACAGACCAAGAGATCCAGAAATGCAGTTTTACTAGGGACTTTGAGTCAACTCTCTGAATCTTTATGAACTTGTACTTCATGCTCTAACTCTGCTAGAGTCAAAGTTGGCTCTATTGTTATCATAGCCAGCAACAAAATCCGCCAGAGCTGGAAACAACCCTTCGTTAATCTTCTTTAACACCTTCCCCCAGGCAGAGTAGATGTTCTGTGCCAAGTTAAATGAGACGTTCTATCAACAGTCCAAACGATCCACATAAATTAGGGAAGTTCAAGTCAGGGCAAGAATTGGGTGAACTTTGTCATATCGATTTCCCCCCAAGGTTTATTGATGCCTTTTGTTGTTACATCACAGTAATTTTTGGATACATTCTCTCCTTACTATGTCACTTCCCCCACCCAGTGAGCCTTTGATCATCATAACAACATCAATGTAAACAAAACCAATCTATATAGATGACCATGTATGAAAGTATGTAGCATTCCACACCTCTAACCTCTCCACTTCTCTAAGAAAAGGAGATAGGCACATTTCTTTAAAAATCAAAAAATTTCTATGTCTTCTGTTTTTATATCACCTATATATAGGTATCTGCATTTATAGAGATACATCCCTTATTTAAAAAAAAAAAAAGAATAAGGGGCAGCTAGGTGGTGCAGTGGATAGAGCACCGGCCCTGAAGTCAGGAGGACCTGAGTTCAAATGTGGCCTCAGACCAACCATGTAACACTAGCTGTGTGACTCTGGGCAAGTCACTTAACCCCAATTGCCTTTAAAAAAAATAGTTTTTTCTAATAGTACAGTAAAACAAATCAATATAGTAGAAAAGTCTGACATATTCACTATTCTACATGCCTAGCAGGTGCATGCCTTCATTATCAGAAATATCCCCGATACTCCTGTTGTTGCTTCAGCTCATTACCTAGCCCAGCCTCCACACTTTGCATTGGGAGAGGCGTTGTGTACTGCCCAGATCTGGTATTACCTACTCTATGAACCAGATTGTTGAGATCTAAGATTTGGTACTTATGAAAGGGGGAGAAAAAGGCCAAGATTTCTGGGTTTTGTCCTTCCCATTTTTTTCTTTTTTCTTTATACTGATTTTTTGAAAAGTAGGAGAGATTATTTTTCACCTTTTTCTTTTCCCCTTAGTATTGCGTGTGCCAAGAGGATTGTCCAGCAAAACCTCTGTGAAAGCATTTAAATCATTGAAGATCCTCTAGAAGATCCTTATCACATCACGGGCAGGGGAGGGGAAGGGGGTAGAGTGATATTTTATGTGACAGAACCAGGGTTCCCCCACTTACCCACAACAGATTAATTTTTTCTTGAAGTCAAAAAAACTTTTCTTTGGGATTTAATTGCCCACTACTTCACTTGATGCCAATTTTCTGTTCTCCTAAGGGTATAAAGAGTCCTATCCATGTAGTATCAAAACCCCTGCAATGTGGTGGATGTCCAAAGACCACACAAGTCATCATATCCTGCCCTGCTGACCAGATGAATTTCCATGTGGAGATGATAGTGGGGGGCTGGGAGGAAGTGCCATTGTACACTTGTTGAATATCCTTGCTGTATTAGGACAACTTTTTGTTAACTGTTCCGTGATCTAAGTGCCTCATTTCATTCCAACATTGAACCTGAACTAAGAGGGTTCTGGTCTCATGACCACCCCTAACCACAGCCTGGTAGTGACTAAGTTTAGCTATATTTTTAAAGTTACTATTTTAAATCATGTATTTTTTTTTAATATCTTTTACTACAGATAATCATTCAAAACCGATGGAAATTGATGGTGATGTTGAAATTCCACCCAACAAAGCAACAGTCCTTAGGGGCCATGAATCTGAGGTGTTCATTTGTGCCTGGAACCCTGTCAGTGATCTCCTAGCATCTGGGTAAGGCCATGGCTGCAGCCTTATATATCTCTCATACTTCAGCATGCCCTGCAGACTTAGGGTATGCCCAGATTACATGATAGCTACATTTTGATTTCAAAGCCCTGGAGTAGGTCTCTTATTACAAAGCCATTTGGTTTACAAACTAAAATCCAAACCATTGCCTTTTAGGAAGTGTTTACTTCTGGAGCATAATCTCATCTGCCTGGTTCCAGATGTCTTTCAAATGTGTGGCAACATGATGGAGATCAAAAAGTTCTCTATGTTACGGAGTGGAAAGTTCTATATCTCTTTATAGTAGAAAAAGTTATAAGAGAACGAAAAAATAGATCTTGTATACAGAGAGGATTAGAAAATAATTATTCACCTCTAGAACCCAGACTTTAGAATAAGTCACTCTTTTTTTTATAATGCTATCTTCAAAGATTTCTATGTTCTTTAAACATTAATGCCTCTATAAAGGCATGGATTAAAAAACTACCCTAATGTAGGTGACGTATCTCTGTATGGTAAGTCAGAAATATACTTATTATTAACACTCCTAACAAATTCATGAACCCATTAAGCTAAAGTCCAGGAAGACTGATTCCGTCACATTCACTGCAAGTTGTGGTCAGACCTCATGAGGTTCAGCCACACCTTTTGCCAGTGGTACTTCCGTGTTCTTATCCAACTTTTGTGCCCTACTGAAGAAGAGAGTCATCACCAAAATCAGAACGCTTTAGTCACAGAATGGACTCACAGCAGTTCACCTGAGGCAGGATTTCCTTCAAAAAATATAATACTAACATTTAAAATTAGTACATAAAAGTTAGGTTTTTATATGTCAGAAAGGGAGCATTATATGGAAAACAAAGAAAAGAACCTATAAATTAAAGGAGTGAGGTTTAGTGGAGTGATAGTTCAAAAAGCACCCACTATCAATACCTGTTTCAGTGTTTGGTGCCGTCCACTAATATTCCTTTCCGAAGGCCAGAAGCTAATGGTGAACACGTTTTCATTTTGTAGGTCTGGAGACTCAACTGCAAGAATATGGAATCTTAATGAAAACAGTAATGGTGGTTCTACCCAGCTAGTTTTGAGGCATTGTATACGAGAAGGAGGACATGATGTCCCTAGTAATAAAGATGTAACTTCATTGGACTGGAATGTAAGTACCATAAAGATCATTTACTGCCCCGAAAGAGCAGCCTTTATAGAGAGTTGAACAATTATTGGCAAAAATTTATTATCCACATCTTTCCCAATATGATTGCATTATGACTCTATACTTTAAAAATTGATCTGATGGTTATGGAAGTAAGCCTCCCTATGGGACAGCTTGGCCCAGGTCAAACCACAGCAAATGGTTTTGAAATTGATACCGAGTTTTTATATTCAGATGAGGAAACATGATGTTTCATTAGCAGCAGATTTATATATGTATTTGTTTATGCGTTATGCATGTGGCATATGCTGTTCTTCCATGATTTTCTTCTTGTTCAAGCATTGATATTCTTTCCCTGCCCTCTTCCCTCAGGTGCTTTCAGGTGTTTTCACAGATTCCACAATTTCATGATAAATTCCATATTCATCAAATCCATGAATTATATCCAATATTAACATTATTGCTTTTACTTGAGGGAGGCTAAGAAAAACCACATCTGTTTGAGTTGTCAAGAGTTGTTTTTATAACATTTTGTACTGCCTATTTTAAATGAAGTCATTAATTAGAAACACAATATATATCTTAGCATAAAATTTAGATTGCCAGAAATGGGTTTTTATTGCTCAGTAGTTTCTATGTGGCTTATATTTTCATTAGGCACCAGTGTCCAAAGTAATCAAATGTGATGAACTGATGCTTAACTTAAATTCTTACTTTAAAAATGTGGACTAGGGTTGATGTATAGCATGTTCTCATTAACTTTTCCCTCCCAAAATAATTTTTTTTTTGTTCTCCAGAGTGATGGAACACTGTTGGCTACAGGTTCATATGATGGTTTTGCAAGAATATGGACAGAAGATGGTAAGTTGGATAGTGGTCATAATATTAAGGTGAAAGATAGTGGGACATCCTTTATTTTGATTGGGTGATCATACTGATGTTGTATAGTCAGCATTTTTTTGTTTTTATATAACAGGTAACCTGGCAAGCACCTTAGGTCAACATAAAGGTCCCATCTTTGCTTTAAAATGGAACAAAAAGGGGAATTACATTTTGAGTGCTGGTGTTGATAAAGTGAGTATTAAAAAAAATGTAACCCTTTGATCAGTGAGTGTCCTGATTTGTGAACTCTTGGCAATATGATGATTTCTTTGAATTCTAAAATTTCCCATTTTACCTGCCCAGAGACATCAAAAGAATTTGGGGTTCATTTATTCTTGTGGGTCTTGATCTCATCAAGTAGAAGAGATTAGATTACTACTAAGAGGTTGAATAAATGCATTCCATATGATGAATTTTGAACAAGTTCCCAGTTTGAGGTACACAGTGCCTGGAAGGAGAGTGAAAATAACTGAATTGGACCCCTCATAACTTTTACCCAATAGATTATTTCAACAACAAAAAATGCTTTTCCACCAACCATCTAATCTTTTTTTTTCTAGTTTAATATCCTTTTATGTCCGTAATCTCAAACTCAAATGTGATAGTTGTTTTAAATTTATATTTAAATCACTCATATACTTATGCAGTTATTCCCTAAACCTCTATTTCCCTTAGAAAGATTTGTTAATTTAATTACATATTTGTTCATTAAAAAGATAGGCAAGAACTAGGACTTGCAGTGGCTGTAGGCAATTTTCAGGTTTTGAGGATTTGTGGCAAAGGCCATAAATTATACCCTTCCCACCATTGTCACAATGTTCATAGACTCGTATAGGTGCTGGCTACTCTTGTCCACTAGTCAGATTTGGGATTAAGTTGTTCTGGACGCTGAATATAATTGCCATATTTGTACAGTATCATTAGGTCAGTACTGGATGGCATTCATAGAAAAGGCACTTTTTCAATACATTGTTTCAGTACAAACCAAGTGAGTATTCAAACGAATTTATACCTATACTCAGAAGTATTTAATGTTTTTATCTACTTGTGTAACCAATGCTTATAATAATTATTCATCATAATTAATTATTATAAATAATTATAATGTATTATATTGTTTATTGTATTGTTATGATCATATATATAGCATGATATAACTTTAATATAGTATAATTATTTGTAATAATTATTCATTACAATTAATAATTACATCTTGTAATAATTTTCAAACCGTTAGAAAAGCATTTTGAGTTGCTGATTTCTTTTTCATTATTTTAGCATTCAAATTTTGAAAAATAAAATATAACACAGTTGGCCCCTATAGAGATACTACTATTATTATCAGATAGTATTTACTGAACTTCCCATATATGGATCACCTTATCCATATAAGGATAACCCTGTGTATTATATTGAATACATTAAATAGATACATCCTACCATGAAGGAGAATGAATACTAAAACAGGTAAAAATGTAAAAAGAATATCAGTTTGTATGATTGTGACATGAATATTCTATACCCTAAGTCCTGAGTATTTGAGTAATAACTTTTTTCCTCAATCTTTTTTTTTTTTTTTTGGCGAGGCAGTTTGGGTTAGGTGACTTGCCCAGAGTCACACAGCTAGTGAGCATTATGTGTGTCTGAGGCCACATTTGAACTCAGGCCCTCCAGACTGTAGGGCCAGTGTTCTGTCTATTGTACCACCTAGCTACCCCATTTTTCCTCAGTTCTTAACACAAGAGCGTATCTCTGAGTTTGATTTTATGGATTTATATGTCCAAATTAGAATTCACTTTTCCTAACTACAAATATTTTACCTAAGTTTTTCCTGAACAATGTAACTCATATTAATAAACTTTCTGATTTTTTTTCATCTCCTTCCTACAGAAGAATAAAATGGAGACAACTAATTTTTTCTACTTGATGATTAAATTATTACCTATTAGTAAAATTATAATTAAAGTATCCATTGTGCATTACTTTGGGGAAATAAATATGCACTTTGGTAGACTTATTACACTATAATGCTACAACTTAGTGGAGACTAGCAGTAATGAAATAAATGGTATAATAGTAATAATTCAGAAAAGAGCACTATTTGGAGAAAAATGCAGTTTACAGGAGTACTTTGCTGACCTTCCCAGTATATTTATTTTATTTTGTAAAGTTTGACAACTAATCCGGGACTCAAAGTCCTAATAGTATTTTTAAGAATATTTGAAAATTGCAATAAAAAAGTGTTCTTTGTCCATCCCTAACTTTACATATTCATTGACTAGTAAACTTCAACTATATTAAAAGCTGAGGTCTAAAAAATTTAATAATCTCCCCATATTCCCTAACATATTTATCTGACTGAATTTCTAGTTATAAGGACATTATTTTGGTGGGCAAAAATTCTGTTAATTGGTCTAACTCCAACCCTGTATTTATAAAGTATAGTTTTTGAAACAGTTTTCTGAATATCTTCTCCAGCCACCAATCAGTAGAAATTTTCCTGTAGTCTTGCTAAATAACAGTTTTGTTATATGACTGGGAGGTTGAGGAGGAAATGATTGAGTTAATCACAGTTAGTCTTTCGTAGCTGTCCCTCCTGAGTGAATGAAAGGACTACAGTTGACATTGTTTTCCAAAAACGCCTTGAAACAAGAGTTCTACCTTTTCTTTTTCTTTTTTATTATTTTGGCAGAAACAGGCAGTTACTAAGACACCTTTCACTAACCATAGCATAATGCAACTGCTTTATTGTGCTTTGGCATTTGGCACTATTTGCACAGTGAAAATTTGCAGTCAGGACGAATGTCAGAATTGTCCATTTCTAGAGTTTTTCAGTTTGGTCAGGTACCAGATATTTTTTTTTTCAATCGCACTGCAATTTTTTACCTGGTCAGAAGGACAAGTAAAAATTGTTGGGTTTTGGTGTTAGCTTCTTTTCTTTTTTTTAATCCCAGGCAACAAGACAGAAATCTGTAGCTTTCACCTGAGAAGATGATTAAAAATGTGCTGAGTTTCCTTTTAGCAGACATAAGAAGGAACTTTCAAAGGAGCAAAATAACTAACTTCTTCTTTTGTTTCCGGAGCATAGACAACAATAATTTGGGATGCCCATACAGGAGAAGCTAAGCAGCAGTTTCCTTTTCACTCAGGTAATTATCATTTTCTGTCACCAGAAATAGTTTCAAGAAATGACCTGTAGAGTAGCCTTCAGCACCAAGGTGAAAAAGGGGACAACAGCTAAAATTCGTGTTCCTGTTAAGTTTTGCTCTAAAGATTTTCTGCGTATGCGTGCCTTCAGCTTACCACCTGCTCCAGGTGCGCCAAGGGATAGCCATCCACATAAAAAGTATGTGTTTTTCTTCCTGTTGTTCTGAAAGGGGATTAGTTACCATTGATATGCACTCAACCGCATTCATCTTGTGGCTTTCTTTAATATGTTTGAGTTTCATGAAGCGACATAGGGGTACTTAGGTGTCTCAAGGAATTAAGTTGTCCAAATCCCTAACTTTCATTTTGTTCCTAGCTTCAGCCTTTTTTTTTTTAAGCTATCATGTTTCCATAGGTGACTCTTCAGCTTAGAGGTGAATTGATACAGCTTCCCTTAGAATTGTGTTAGACCAAAGTGTTTTAAAGATGACAGAGGACAAGTATTACACCTTCCTTTCCCTCAGGCAATGATCGTCCTTGAAAAGAATTTGTTTTTCTTCCCCAAGGACTTTTTTTTTTAAAGGGATTCCTAAATGGCTTTTAATAAATGAAGGTGATGAAATGTCTAAATAAGAACATTTTCAAATATCAGTGCGTTGTAATTTTATTAGGTTAACCACATGTTAGAGACTAACCCTGATCATTTGAATTGTGAGAGAATCAGTACAGAATGCAAAGAGTAATTCCTGAGAACAAGACCACACACCGTTACCACAGTCTGGAGGCACTTTTAACTAGAGCCTTATGTACTTATGATGCTATAATTGAACTCACAGAAGAATAGATTTCCAGTCTCTCTTGCACATATTCTGCAAAACAAATCCTCACTCACATGTACCAGGTTTCTGCCAGGAAACCAGATTCTGTGGGGTGGGGTGGGGAGGTGAATTTTTATGAAGTTGTTTGCCCAAATTTGTTTGATGAAGGGAGAGGCCATGGTGTAACAAGAGTTAGCCTCAGCCCAGGAGAAGGTTTCAGAATGGGACCAGAAGGGGCAGCTAGGTGGCTCAGTGGGAAGATAGAGCACCAGCCCAGAAATCAGGAGGACCTGAGTTCAAATCCAGCCTCAGACACATGGCACTCACTAGCTGTATGACGCTGGGCAAGTCACTTAATCCCAATTGCCTCACTGAAAAAAAAAAAAAGAAAGAACACACACACAAATGAGACCAGAAGCTTTAGCTTTCTTGCCATGCCAAACCTAATCTGTGTTAATCAGGCAAGAGTTGAAATGAATATTCAGAAATAGGGTCTAAGTAGAAGAGCCAGGTTAAACATTTATGGGAAGCGTTTATTCAGAACAGAGGGCAACTCACTGGCTCAGTGGGTAGAGCACTAGGGCTGGAGTCAATAAGACCTGAGTTCAGATACTACCATAGACTCTTCTTAGCTGTGTGACCCTGGGCAAGTCACTTAACCTTGCTTGCCTCCGTTTCATCATCTGTAAAAATGATCTAGAGAAGGAAATGGCAAACCACTCTATTATCTTTGCCAAGAAAACCCCAGATGGGGTCATGAAGAGTCAGACGTAACTGAAATGACAGAACAGCAAAAAATGCAGAACAGAAGCCCTCACCTGGCCTGGCGCTCAGGAGTCAAGAAGAAGAAATCTAAGCCAGGGGAGAGGTTTTTCATTAGTAAAAGGAGAGGGTTAGAGAAAATCATCTCCACAGTCCAGTACTACATTGGTGAGCAAGTCTAGAAATAGGCAGAGCTTTGTTCCTTGAATAAACAGAGTGGGCTAAGGCAGGGATGAGAAAGGAATAAGCATTTATATAGTGCCTACTGTGTACCAGGCACCATGCTAAGCATTTTTCACAAATATTATCTCATCTGATCCTTACAACAGCTCTGCAAGGTAGGTCCTATTTTTATACCTCATGTCACCGGTGAGGGAACTGAGTCAATAGAGGTTAAGTGGCTTGTGTAGAGTCACGCAGCTGATAAGTACACCAGGCCACATTTGAACTCAGATCTTTCTGTCTCCAGACTTATCATTCTATCCACTGTGCCACCAGCTAATGTACAAAGAACCGAAGCCAAAAATGTGGTGAAATAGGCCCCCTTTTGATCTCTAAGTCATAGTTAGAGCCAGCAGGGCAGAGAATTGAAGTTTAGAAACAGCTGAACAAGCAGGGCTTGCCAAGTCTCTCTTAGCCCCGGAGGTCTTAGTTGATTCATTCCCAATAGTTTTTGCCCTGGCAGTGGGATTTTTGCTCTGGTCTCTTCGAAGAGAAAACTGAATGAAAACTAATTGAAGTGTATGATTTCACACCAACTTCTAAGAATTACCCTTGATACTTAATAAAGTCACTTCAAAGGCAAGAGGAGATTTACCTCAGGAAAAAGCAGGAAAATGCATTGTTGTTCCGGAAAGAGAGTTTGTGGGAGACTCCATGCAGTGTCTCAAATGTATTGGAGTCCCCTGTTCATTAGTATTGCTTTTACCCAATCAAGCCTGTTATTCTAGAGGGTCTGTGATCAGTCAATCAACATTGAGAAAGCATTTATTAAGTGCTCACTGTGTGCCTGGCATTCTGCTACGGGTCAGAGATTTAAAGAAAAAAGTCCCTCTAAGGACTTACATTGTAATAAGGGGAGACAGCACATAGATAAATAGGTATGTGGAAGTTTCATGCAAAGCAAATGGAAAGCAGATTTAGAAGAGAGACAATGAGGGGTTATAGGGATGGATGCCTGCAGGTGACATTTGAGCTGAATCTTGAAGGAAGGTCAGAGATTTTAAGAGGCAGAGGTGAGTTTTCCAAATAGTGAGAACACTCAGAATAACTGTGGAGATGAGACAGTGTTTGTCCTGTGTTCAATCTGTAGGAGAGGTAATCATCTGATTATAATTATATGTAAAGATGATAATTGAACCTGTTGGAGCTGAAGGGACCACCAAAGTGGAAAGTATAGAAAGAAAAAAGGGCAGAGCCTTCAGACACCCGCATTTAGGGGACTCGACATAGATGATGATCCAGCAAAGGAGACCAAGAAGGAACAATCACTCGTAGAGGAGAATAGAGAGGAAGTAGGCCAAGAAGGAGCAAATGATGAATATAACAAGCAGACCCCCACCCAAAAAAATACTGTTTTCTAATTACAGATTTTTCATCTGTGCATTTCACTGTTCTACTTACATTCTAGGCACCTCTGATCTGTCCTATTGACTGACAAAACCAAAGTAAGGATGAAGTCAAAACACCATTCCTATCATTCCTCCTGGATTTCTCTTTTTGTGTTTGTTTGGCATAATTCTAAAAACAATCACATTCTCTGTTACAGTGATAGGCCTGATGACAGATTTACAGTCCCAGGGTGCTGGAAGTTCTTATGTGTCTGCTTAAAAATCCATTTGAAACCTGCAAACATTACTCTTGCTGTTTTCTAGATTCTGTTGCAGTCAAAGTCCAGACCATCATGTTCCCTTTAGCATGCTCGTTAATAATTTCTTTGAAGTCTTTCAGCAAAATGTAGTGATCCCCAAATGTATTCTCTAGCCTTCAGGGAGGAGAGTGTCATCCAACTTATGCAGAAGATTAATACTCTTCTAGTTTCTCTCTGTTGGAGCTTTTGGCCTAGAATTATATGGCCAGTGGGATATATTTATGATGATGATTGCAAATAGATTCAAGTTTACAAAGTACTATGTGGTTATCATGTCACTTGCTTCTCACAGTACATAGGAGGTAATTACTGTTGGTGGTATTATTCCCATTTTAAAGATGGAGAAAACAAGGTTTGGAAAGATTAAGTGACTTGGACGTCTTCATACGTGGAGCGTTGAGAGGTGTGTTTTGAACCCACGTTTTCCTGATTCAACCTGTTAACAGGAAAAATAGCACTGATTCTGGAACCAGAGAACCTGGGTTTAAGTTCCATCTCTGATGTTTACTACCTGTGTGATCTTGGGTAGTTCATTTCCAACTCTTGAGCCTCAGTTTCCTCATCCTTAAAATACGAGGGTTAGACTAGGTAGCTTCTGAGTTCTCCTTCCTGCTAAGGCATGCACTCCGTCTTGCTTCTTAGAATTCCCAGCCTCCTCCAGAGGACGGCTCACGGACTGCCTCCTACATAGGGTCTTTCCTGATCCCAGCTGCTAGTACCTCTGCTTCTATCCAAATTACCTTATATTTACTCCATGTACATACATGCATACATACAATATATATAATGTATATTAGACTGTGTGTGTATATATACTGTATATATATACACACTATATAGACAGTATAATACATATTTAATAGATATTTACATTTAAAATATATTTACTCTCTCTATATATCATATATTTTTGTATCTGTTTATATTAGTACATGTTATTTTCTCCTATAGACTGTAATCTCCTTGAGGCCTGGAGTAGGGGAGGGAGTTAGAATTATTCCACTTTAATCTTTGTATTCCTTGTGCCTAGCACAGTGTCTGCCAGAGAGCAGATGCTTAAGAAATGCTTGTTGGTTGATTGATGGATGCTACATATGGCAGCCAGTGAGTGACCCTAAATCTGGCACTCTGTCCGCTATGCTCCATGGTCCTGCAGTTGATCAGAAATTTCCTCAGGTCCTAACAGATGGCTTATTTGTTTTAATCAGTAGTCTAGGGAGCTATGAAAATATAAGTGCACAGATTCCTTTTGGGGGATAGTCACTTAATTGGACAGGATGAGAAATTGTAATTCCATCCATCAAGCACTTTCCAGATGATATGAGGAATCGGGACTCCCTCCATCATTATTAGCAACTGTGGCACTATTTATTAAATGCCTCGTCATTATTAGCGAGGCTGTGTTAAGAGCTGTACCCTGAAAATTACATTGGACCAGCTCCCTGCAGAATAGGGAGATTTTCCAGTCCAAGCAGTACCTGCTGGCATAAACACAAGTGGATGTGCTGAACCTAGGTCTTCCCCCACCTCCCCACCTTGAGTCTCTGCCACACACCTTCAGGAACAAATGGCCGAGAACCTGTAGGATTCATAGGTCATGGCTTTGGTGCCATCCGAGGTGGGTGGGATAGGGACCCACCCCCGGCAGAGAGCCAAGAAAGAAAAAAGGAAGCAACTCCTAACTACAGAATTTTTATTCCTGGAATTCTGTGGGACATCAACACTGATTTTAATGCTTAGTTTCTAGTAATCATTCCCTAAACCTTCCTGTCAGAGCTTCACATTTTCCACTGTATTAATATGGTGACTCAAATACAGAACCTGCCCCTGGAATTCATTATTTAACTAATTTTTTTGGTTATAAATGAGAATCATCTGTAGGCATTGTCCTATGGCTAACTGATCAGCATTCTGACAGAACTGATTATTTCTTTCATTCCTCTGGGTACACGTGGGAAATACTCCAAGAATAGTTGTGCCATGGTTAAACACACTGCTGGGAGTATTAAAAAATAGAAAGAACTTTTGCTCTTGTGATTTATATCATTTTTTAAAAAGCCTTTCCTGACATTCAGCCAGCTCTGCCCACACAGTATCTTTCCCTTGGGCATGAAGTCGTACATTGAAGTTAATAGTATCCCTGCCATTGTATGGGAGATACATAGCAGAAGGGTTCAGCCCATTATTTAAAGAATAGTGGGGGAAATGAGGAAGAGAAATCTTCTTGTTAGAACACAGGAAAACCTGAATTATCTTTCTGTCTCTGGTGCTGACTCACTGTTGAACCTTGGGTAAATTAGTTAGCCTCTGGTTGTATATGTTCCTAAGCAACCTTGTGATGTCTTCCCCCACTTCCCCCATAAAAGCAAAGCACTTCATTACTCCTTAGTATAGCTGTATATCACTGTCTGACTTCCGGGTGCTTAACAGTCATTAACCAAAGCACTAGACTGTTAATAAGATCATGGCTACTAGACCCAGGTGACTTCCATAGGGCTTCATCCAGTGCTGTGCATCCCTTGGGCAAAGTGGTAATGATGACCTCTTTATGTTTCAAATTTCTTTAACTTATGAGATAGAAATAATTATTTGGACCCTATTAGAAAAAAAAAGCACATCATGCATCATTGAGACATCATTAGCAAAAATCTTACTGAAGAAGACAGAGCACTAAGGATGGAATAATTTAATTCAACAGGCATTTATTGAGTGTTAGCTTTGTGTCAGGCGCTGTGCTGGGCACTGGGTATATAAAAACAAAAATGAAACTGTCCCCTGCACCCTGACTCCAACTTACCTTTCCAGAGTTATTATATAATATTACACCCCTGCAACACTCTGTGGTCCATCCACACTTTGCTGCCCTTCACACATGACATTCCATCCCCACCTCCCACCTCCCTCTACTCATACCTGATCGCACCTATTAGAAATCCCAGCCTAGCCTGATAGGAATTATACCTGAGGCCAGGAATAACTGATTTTTACTGACTCTTTATAGTTCTAAATATGAAACCTGCGTTATTCTTTCTACCTCCAAAGCCTCTTCTACCACTCGTCCCTGGTAAGTTAGAAGTTATGCTTTATGGTGCTGAGCGAGGAAGCCAGAGTTTCTTAACTTCTGAGTTACATCAGTATTGTTGTATTATCTTCCACTGAATTCCTATCTTGGGTGTCTCATCAGGCTGCGAAGGTTAATTCTTGTTCTCAGAGGAACAGTGAAAAAGGTACTTTCTCCGTAGTCTGAGGACCTGGGTCTTACTCTGCCTTTGCCACCTGTGTGACCTTGGGGAAGTCTTACCCTCTCAGGGCCTCAGTTTCCTCATCTGTAAAATGAAAGGTTGGGATTGGAAGGCTTCTGTGGTCCCTTCTAGCTAATTTCTAGTCCTTCTCAGTCACACAATATGAGAAGAACCCTGCATACAGTCTATTCCTTATGGCATTTAAAGGACAACTGGAAAAAAAATAAGAAAACTGAAATAATTAGGGCCTGCCTTCAATGGAATTTGAAGTTGTGTATTGTCCCCACTCTTTATTCAGAGTACCACATTATCCAGGACCTGGGCTTCATACACAGCCAGCTCCTGGAGGTGTGTCATCCTGCCTTTTCCCTTAGTTAAAATTTCTCTGTCTTTAAACATGTCGTTGTAAAGGCCAGATTTTTGTTGCTTCCAAAATAACAATCAGTTGAATTGATAATTCTTCCATGTAATGGAAGACAGGTTCCTCACGTTTTTCCCCCCAGGTCACATAGGTACCTTTATTCAGTTGTTTTTATTTATTTATTTTTTTGAGGCAGTGGAAGTTAAATGACTTGCCCAGGGTCACACAGCTAATATGTGTCTGAGGTCAGATTTAAACTCAGGTCCTCCTGACTCGAAGGCCAGTGCTCCATCCACTGCACCACCTAGTTGCCCCTTGTATGTGTCTTCTAAATGTAGTGTCCCTCCCATTTGGGGTGTACCTTCACACTGAAGGAGTACTCTGGTGATGGACCATTGGTGGCTTGATAACTAAACCTCTTTTAATGGGGTCCAAGAAAAATATTTAATTCTTATACCTGTTCTTTTCTTTAGTTAACAGCAAGGGCCAAGTTGTAGTGTTTTGTGTCTTTCGTGTCCTCTAAGTTAAGTAGTTAAGTTTAATAAAGACTACCAAGTGAACAGAGAAGGCCTGCAGCCTTCAGTGAGCATGACGTAGAGATCTCCTTAAAGTAAAAGAATTGTAGGATACCCATTACGAGGATAGGGATGCGGTGGGAGTGTGAGGGCAGTAAAAATTGAAGGGCAACTAGGTGGTACAGTCTGTAGAGTGCTGGAGTCAGGAAGACTCATTTTCCTGAGTTCAAATCCAGCCTCAGACACTTACTAGCTGTGTGACCCTGGGCAAGTCACTTAACCCTAGTTTCCTCATCTGTAAAATGAGCTGGAGAAGGAAATGGCAAACCACTCCAGTATCTTTGCTAAGAAAAACCCAAATGGGGTCATGAAGAGTTAGACATGACTGAAAACAATTACCAAACAACAAAAAAATTCAAGAGAAAGAAGGTTGTATTTGAATAGTAGTCTGACATGTATAGTTGCCAATCTCCTCCTTTGTCTTTCTTCTTTGTCTTATCTTTCCCTCTTTTTCCCTCACTCATTCCACAGTTAAAACTCCCCCATACGCTGAGGCTGCCATCCACCTTGCCAATCCTTCCCCCTGCTTCTGAAAGAAAGAGAAAAAGGAAAGAAGACAGTAGTTTAGCATGCACCAGGAATGAAATAGGTAGAATTGGTCATGGTTAGTAGTGTGCACCCTTCTTCACCTTGAAAATTGTGGGACAGATAAAAACAAAATACACTCACTAGGGGATTGTGCGGGGTTGGCCCAGTGAATGTTTGAAACTTGATACAGACTTGGTTGCCTGGACTTGCAGTTCTTTGAAAGAGAGCCGCTCTGCACACTCCATTTATTTTGTGATCTCCCATATGTTTAGCAGCTCTGGTTCTCACTTCTTTCTTTTAAATTTCCCTGTGTAATAAATAGCTTCAAATTTAATACATTGGGAACAGACACTGCGCTTCAGAGGGGAAGGCTGGTGGGGACAGTGCCTGTCCACAATGGCTAATGTGACTTCTCTCCGCTCCTCCCTGTCGCTCGTGCTCTGCAGCCCCTGCCCTGGATGTAGATTGGCAGAACAACACTACTTTTGCATCCTGCAGCACAGACATGTGTATTCACGTATGCCGACTTGGCTGTGACCGCCCAGTCAAAACCTTCCAAGGACACACAGTAAGTGACTGAATGTGGATTCACGTTTGGTGGGAATGTCGTGGGAGTCGGGAGCTTTTAGTTTAAACCAGTGATGTTTCCATCACTTAAAAGAAGGAGGTTAAGGGTACAGGGCGAGCCCTATAGAAGCTTTTTAAGTCTTTTCAAAAACAGGTTGTGCCTGGTGAGAGTTGTACAGCCACAGTGGTTAGATTGAGTTCAGACACCAGGTATCAGAGAGAAGCAAAAATAGACCGTTCAGTGAACTAGCCTGTACTCTGACCGTTATCCTTATCTTCCCCTTCCTCTTCCCCCTCCCCCCTCCCACTGGAACCTTGGAACTACCCTTGGCTCTTACATGTGAGATTTTGCCTTATTTTGCAAGAACCAAGCTGCCACTGCACACCATGCTCCCTGTGCTCTCTGGTCATCCTCACTCAACCCTGTCCTTTCTCCCCACCCCCCAGCAGAACCTTGGACTCTGCCTCTAGAACCCACCCTGAGCTCCAGTAAGGTTAGCTCTCACCTTCCCTTGCCCACACTTCCTTGACACCCACCACTTCCCCAAGGGTAAACCCCTCTCCTTTCCACTTCCTGTTATATGTGGTCTTCACTCTTTTAGAATTTAAGGTGCTTGAGGGCAGAGACTTTAGCATGCTTCCATTTGTTAGCACAGGGTCGTTAGGTGGCATAGTGGATAGAGAGCACTGAGCTTGAAATCAAAAGGACTTCTCTTCATGAGTCCAAATCAAATGTTCATGAGTTCAAAACTCACCAGCTGTGTGACCCTGGGCAAGTCACTTAACCCTGTTTGCCTTAGTTCCTCATCTGTAAAATGAGCTGGAGAAGGAAATGGCAAACCACTCCAGTGTCTTTGCCAGGAAAACCCCAAATGGGGTCATGAAGAAACAGACACAACCAAACAACAAGAAGTCTGTTCACACAGTGCCCAGCACATAGTAAGTACATTAAGCACATAATGTATACTGTTGATCCATCTCTCCATCTACGTGGGGAGGGTGGTACAAGCACAGTGGTTAGATAAAATTCAGACATTAGATGGCAAAGCACAACTCTATATACTGACCCACTACTTTAAAAAGTCTTTTTTAGGGGGCAGCTAAGTGACACAGTGGATAGAGCACCGGCCCTGGAGTCAGGACGACCTGAGTTCAAATGTGGCCTCAGACACATAACACTCGCTAGCTATGTAACTCTGGGCAAGTCACTTAACCCCAGTTGCCTTGCCAAAAAAAAGTTTTTAATAAGTTAATTTCTGCTTTTTACTTACAAAGCTCCAAATATCCAATAGGAAACAGACGACAAAATACAAATAAAGTACTTTGGTTGCTGACTTAGTTGTTGTGCACCCATTTCTTTCAGTATCTGCTTATCTATCTTCTACCCCCAAGCTGTGCTAGGTCCTTTACCAAGCTTCTGACTTATACTTAGCAGCTTTTTAAAACACAGTTCACCTCTTCCTTGCGCACACATGGTCAGTTCCTAGATACCTAACCACATGAGCTGGTCTCTCCTGCCATCTCAAGGTCCCAGTTTCTACATCTTCTATCTTTCTCTTTGCCACATCACTTTGAATTACCTCTAATTATCACTTCCTCATTGGCCCCCTCACTCTGGATCACTCTTCCCCCTTTTATTCTTGATGGGGCCTCATCCTTATTCCTTCTGAACATTTTGAAACCATGAGACCAAACAAAGTATGTGTTCAACAAAGTTCAGCATATTTCTCCAACTTCCTCTGGGTGATTCCAAGGAAAAAGGCCTAGGGAAATAGGTCTTCCACTGTTCCTCTGCCCTATTCAGCAATATTCCTAATGGATTGTTGGGTGGGGGTTGGGATACAGACGAATAAATGGTAACACCCTGCAAAGATCTGCCTCAGCTTCCATCTGGCACATTAGCAATCAGAACCATGAAAAGGGCTGTTGTTATGCCCAATTCAGGAATTTATTTTGCTAAACTATGCATATTTGTTACAAGGGCTTTGTTTTTATTTTTTTCCACCAATGAGAGGAGCAGAGGAAAAGATAGAAGGAAGAAAAAATAATTTTTTGTTAATCGAAACAAATTCTAATTTAATTTTTCTTAAAGGGCTTCTCCCCCCCTCCATGATGGTCCAGTCGCTACAGTAATCTGCTTTACTCTTTCTATCTGCTGAATACTTGGCACATATGTATAAATCTCTGTACAACTGTTCATGTTTGTGTTCCATACTCTTGTGGTTAGGGTTTGTGCTGGTCCTGTAACAAATTTTAACTCCTACAGATCAAGGACTAAATCTTCTGACTCTCTGGTACTCTCCATCTAGTCATTCCTCTTCCTCCCTAACTCCTTTAAAAATAATGTCTTTTTTGAGGCCATGCACAGCCACTGGTGTAAGTGACACTGGTTCTAAGGCCCTAGAATTCTGTTTTCCCAATCTTTTTTCCCATCCCTCCCCCAAAGCAATGTGATTTTTTTAAAATGAGAGTTCAACTTTATGATAATTAAATTCATTTCACTTTGCTAGTAAATATTTTCCTTGCCCTTTCCTTTCCAGTTATGATTTTAGATATTTGCAAGAGGAAATATGAGTAAAGGTGATAGTTTATGAATAAAGTGTGTATCAGAGAGAGAGAGAGAGAGAGAGACAGAGGAAAGAAAGAAAGAGAATGGGGGGGTGGTTCAGGAGAGAAAAGGAAACTAGGATTGGGGTGGGGGGAGCTGGGTTGTATGCTTTGGTTTTCTTTGAAAATCTAAGGCATAATTTATTATAAACTAAAGATCTAATTTTTAAATGATAAGCAAAACACTGTTGCCCTCTGCTGGATGACAGATATTTTGATTTTACTTACCTTTAAAAAAAGAAAGAAAAAATAACCTTCTGTATTTCAGAATGAAGTCAATGCAATCAAATGGGATCCTTCTGGAATGCTGTTAGCATCCTGCTCTGATGACATGACGTTAAAGGTAAAAGAGATTAATCCAGAGAATGAACTGTACACTTAAAAAATATACTCATGCATTCCAGTGGGACGCAAGTGCTTTTATGTCATTTAAAAGGTGTCTTTATTCATACTTTTTCCCCTGTAATTTATATATCTCATTAACAAGACTGGTTTGGGTTTTTTGCAATTTTACTATTAAATTTCTGTGGTGGAGGTGGGAAAATAAACTGACATAGAGTAATCACTTTGAGAAAAAAAGTCCAAGTAGAGTAGAGAGTTCTGGCCCTCCACCTGTGGTCTTCATTTAAAAAGGGGCTATAAAATTTGACTAACTATTTATCCACTGGCTCCCAATTTTCATTTAACACAGGACATTTTTCCCTAGGCTTATAATCACTAGGTTTTCAAATATTTAGGTTTTACTCATCTTGTCTCTGAGTTCCTGTTCAAAAAATGCTTACTTTTTAGAACTTAGTGCCTCAAATACCTTTTGTTGCTTTTAGAATACTATCTAATTTTTAATCATTCTTCAGATCCCCAAAGGCTAGAAATATGGTGCCACATCATATACCCGTTCTGTATAGCAGTAAGCCCAGATGAGTCTGATGAGAGAGCAGAATGCTTATTAGATGGGCAGGTAACTTCTTTGCAAACCTTATCTGTAAAATTAAAGAGTTAGATTGGGTTATCTTTATAATTTGCTCCAGCTCAAAAACCTAGATTGCTTCACAGTTGGATAAACTTTACAGGGTATAGAAGGAAATGAGAATCTAATTATGGGATTGCCAGTTAAAGCGATTAGCAATCCACAGCATACCCCCTCAGGGTCTCCCCCCTAAAAAGAAAAGGAGGAAAGAAACAGAGAGAAGAGGGGGAAGGGGAGACAGAGAGAAAAGGTTCCGGAGATTTTTATTTATTTTATTTTTATTTTCTACTTGCATTACCCAGATTTGGAGTATGAAGCAAGATACATGTGTCCATGATCTTCAGGCCCACAGCAAAGAGATATATACCATCAAATGGAGTCCAACAGGACCAGGCACCAGCAATCCAACCTCCAACATCATGTTAGCAAGGTAAAACTAAAAACAAACTCTAAACGCAGTCTAATGCTATTTGCTAGTGGAACAGCAATTTCTCCAGTTAGCATTTTTCATTGCCAAGAAAGTGACAGCCAGGAATGTAGCCAATTGTCTCTGTTAGAAAAATCACTAAAAGCTTTCAGGATACAAAGTGGCAGAAATGGGGAAGTAGCTAATTTTTTTATGAACCTCTGTTTATTAGAGGTCAAAGGGGGAATGAGCTAAGTTTACACTGAATGTGGCATCTAGATAAATTGACTCACATCTGGATTGTTCTGTGTTATATATTATATGAACTTATTTTGTGGATTGGTGCCTTTTGTTTCAATTTGTTCTGAAATCTGTGTATTTGCCAGCAGACAGTCAATAAACATTTATTAGGCATCCACTACGTGCCAGGCACTGTACTAAGGGCTGGAGGTACAAATACGAAAAAAGAAAGATATTCCCTGTCTTCAAGGAGTTTACAGTCTAATTTTAGCCCTGTCTGGCCTGGCCAACCCTTTTAGAACTATTCAAAAAACAGTAAGTATGGAAGCACTTTGAAGGGTTAACATCTAGAACTATACTTTAATGAATACCTGATTTGATCAATATGGGTATTTTCCCCAAGAATTGAAATCCTTTCTTCTCTGAGTCTTCTCATAAGACCTCCAAGAGAATCTGCTAAAGGCATAGGAAGAAAAAATGAGATTAAACCATTAGAAAATGTGACAAATCCTGGCTTTAATGATGACTGTGAAATATAGCAGCAACAGAGTGAGTTCTGCTTGGGTGGGAGGTTGATTCTTTGTATATCTCAAACCAAAATTAATAATCATAGTAGATTTGAATGGTTTTAAGTAGCTCCCCAAATTTGAGCAAGGTTTTTCTGCAAATTTTCTCCTGGTGTTTGTATTAACAGTCAACACATTTTCTAGGTGGCACAGTGGATAAAGTTCCAGGCCTGGAGTCAGGAAGACTCATCTTCTGAGTTCAAATCTGACCTCAGACACTTCCTAGCTGTGTGACCCTGTGCAAGTCACTTAACCCTGTTTGCCTCAGTTTCCTCATCTGTAAAATGACCTGGAGAAGGAAATAGCAAACCACTCCAGTATCTTTGCCAAGAAAACGCCAGATGGGGTCACAAAGAGTCAGGCACCACTGAAAACAACTGAACAAAAAAACAGTTTCTACTCTCTGACATAACCAAGGAATGAACTGTTCTGGTTAATCAGATTTTCTTGTTTTGAAAGTCGTCATCTATATTTTCTATAACATAGGCAGGCTGCTGGGTGGCACAATGGATACGGTGCTGGGCTTTGAGTCAGGAAAAGCAAGAGTTCAAATCCAGCTTCAGACACCTATTAGCTGTATAACCTCAGACAAGTCATTTAACCTCTATTTGTCTCAGTTTCCTTAGCTGTAAAATAGGGATAATAATAGCACCTACTCCCTAGGTTGTGAGAATCAAATAAGATATTTGTGAAGAGCTTAGCACAGTGCCTGGCACATAGGAGATGCTATATAAATGCCAGCTATTATTGTTATTTGTTATTATCATTACATAAATTACCAAAAAACAGGTAAAGTCTTAGGCTTCATCAATGGAAGTATAGTTTCCATTGAACCATAAGCACCTTGAGGCAGGGACTGTCTTTTACCTCTTTTTGTATCCTTAGCGTTTAGCATGGTGCTTAATAAGTGTTTATTGACTGACCTGGTTGTGCTGAGTTCTAATATTTCAAGAGGGATGTTGAGAAACTGAGAGATAAAACTTGGTGATAGAGGGCCAGCCTTAGGGTCAAGAAGACAGTGGGTTCAAGTGTTGCATCTGACACATACCAGCTAATCCTCTCACTGCCCTTTGCAATCCTCTAAAAATATAAATTAAACACAAGTTGCCTGTCTGTACTGGTGGTGGTGGAAGGAGTTTCCACTGACGGGTCTCTACACTGATAAAATCATAGATTCATTCTTGAGAAAAAGAAAAACTGGAAAATCTGCAGAGGAAGCTAAAGAGTTTAGCTTGTTTTACATGATTGCAAACATTTAAAATTCTTTATTAGGGAAGGGCAGGGAGGAAGGGGGAAAATTTGTGGAACTCAAAAAATTTTTCAAATGAATGTTAAAAATTGTTTTTACATATAATTGGAAAAAATAAAATACTTTTAAAAAATTAAATTTCATGTCACCGGAAAAAAAAATAAGCTCTCACCCCCAAAAAATAAAATATAAAGAAATTAACTAATGGTCTGGAAAATGTCATAGAATAAGCAATCTAACAACCTGCGGGTGTTTAGCTTAGAGAAAGAAAGACTTCAAAAAGGACCTGGTGGCTTCAGATATTTGTAGAAAAGAAGAACGACCTTCCCTTTTTTTGTTGTTTCTACAGGTGACAGACCTAAGAAAAATGGGAAATTAACAGGGATAACTTTGGGGTTAGTATAAAGAACAATTGGAGTTGTCCAAAATTAGTATGGCCTGTCTATTGAATTAGTGAGCTGCCTGTCATTGAAATATTTAGGGCATAGACTAGATGGATTCCTGCCTTATTTGGAGATCAGGTTATGTATTTCAAAGAACCATTCTACCTCAAGGATAGGGATGAGGGATAGGGACTGAACCTGTGTTTTCATTAATTTAAAGAACTCCGGGGTAAGGAAATTAATTCCCTCTTCCAGTACAGGTCATCTGCAAATTATCATCATAAGAATTGTCTCGGGGGCAGCTAGGTGGCACAGTGGATAGAGCGCAGGCCCTGAAGTCAGGAGAACCTGAGTTCAAATGCAGCCTCAGACCAAACACTTGACACTAGCTGTGTGACCCTGGGCAAGTCACTTAACCCCAATTGCAAAATAATAATAATAATAATAATAATAATTGTCTCAAAACTGAGTAAATTGCTTGGAGTCACACAGCCCAGGAAGTGTCAGAGACTTGAACTCAAGCTTTCTTGGCCTCAAAGTCAGCTTTCTGTCCAGATGTCATGCTGCGTCTCTGTGATTTTCAGGAAATTAGAAAATAATAAAATATACTCAATGTTAGCACTATATTCCAATTATTTTAGTTATTTTTGGGGGATTCAGGGGACATGTCCTTGAAGGTCTCACAGTGCCTCAATGTTTGACTACCTACTCCTTTCGAAATTCATTTTTCTTCCCTAAGCTTCTGTGAGTTTGCAGTATCTTGGTTTTCCTCTTATCTCTCTTGCTGTTTTCATCCATTTATGCAACAGTCATTAATTATGTGCTGTACACCATGTGTGAGCTGTGCTAGAGACAAAATAGACCAAAACAAAAACAAAACAGTGTTAACTGGCTTGAACAGGTTTATAACCTGTTATGGTGCTAGCAGGGACAAGGAGTTGAAGGAGGACTTGGAGACAAGGAGAAAAATCAGTGATTCAGCCTTTTCTCACTGCTGGAGGGTTAGCATTACCTGAGATTCTGTCCTTAGCCCTCATCTCTTCTCCCTATGCACTCTGCCCCTTGGAAATCTCATTAATTCCAATGACTATCAGTGTCATGGCAGTTTAGATGATTCCAATATCTCTATCTCCAACTCCTGCTTTTCTCCCAATCCCAAGCCCACATTTTTTTTCTTTTTAAAAAGAAATGTTAATTATATCTTTTGTTTTTACAATGCCTGCATTTTCCAAAGGAACCCTCCATCTTCTGCTTCCCAGGGAGCTATCACGAATGATTTTATTTTAAAATAAAAAAGACTTTAAAAGAGAAGGGAATAAAAGTTCAGCAAAACTAACCAAAATATCAAAAATGTATGACGGTATATTCAGTCTTCCACACCCATAGTGTCCCGCCTCTACAAAGAAGCTAGCAGAGGTACTTTGTCATAGCTCTTCTTTGCAGCCAAAATTGGTCATTGTAATCCCACAGCATTAAGTCTTGATTGTTGGGGATTTTTTGGGCAGTTCTTTGCTTTCACATTGCAGTTGTTGATTTGTGTGTTGTTTTCCTTATTTCTACTTACTTCATTTTGCGTCAATAATTTCATGTCTTCATGCTTCTCTGTATTTATCATTCATCATTTCTTGTAGTGATATTCCTTCTGTTCATATATCACGGTTTAACCATTTTCTGGTCGATGCCAACCTCCATTTTCAGGGCTCAACTGAACAGCTCCATCTGGCTGTCCCATTGATATCTAAAAAAGAATTATTAACGTACTCAAAATTAACATCTGGAAGAGAACTCACTCCTGATTTCCCTGTTTCTGTTGATGGCTCCATCATTTCCCCCGTGACCCATGCATTGAAACATCATATCATCTTTAGTACGTTCTTCTTCCTCACAACCCCTCCCCCAAAAAGCAGTTCTTAAACCCTGTCAAGTTTGCCTGCCCCGTGAGCTACTTATTTGTCCCCTCATTCGCTTGCCCATCGGTACCACCCTTGGCAAGACTCCACCCACTCATAATTCCTTCTTTCCTGAAGTTTTTCAGTAGCCTGGTGCCCATTTCTTAAGTCTGTCTATTCTTCGTCAAGTACAGCCCAAATCATATTTTTCACCTCTTCAAAACTTTAATTAACTTTTTTGTTTCCCAAATTAAAACCATACTTCTCACCCTGGCCCTGAATGCCCTACACAAAATTACTGTAATATAGTGTTTCAAATTTCCTCTTATTTTCTTGTACCCATTTCTGTACCTCAGCCAACCTGAATTTTTTGCTGTTCCCTGATTATACTCCATACTTTCCTACCTCCTTTCCTTTTCTCATATTATACCTTCTTTCTAGGATATATTACATCAAGATCCTATTCCTCTTTGAAAGCCCAGCTCAAATACAACTTCCTCCATGAAATCTTCGCTGTCATACCTTTTGAAAGACATCTCTCCTTCCCCAATTGTCTTTAATATTCTGTGTGTCTTACAGCATTTACCACCTTCTGTATTATACTGTTGGTGTCTGTATGCTTGTATGAGCCTCCTTTGTAAGTCATGAGGATTTTGAGTCCTGGGACTGTGTGCCGTGCCTAGTGCCTGCCATATGGTAGGGATTCAGCAAAATAAGTCTTGAGCTGAATTAATTATGAACATTAATTACTGAAAGTTTAAAAAGCACCTTGCATACCTTACCCTCTTTTATACTCACAACAACTCTTTGGAGTAGGAACTACAGGGAAAAGCATAACAAGTTTGGGGTAGCTGGGACTTTAAAGTGGCATCTTCACCTATCCAGGCACTGCTTCCTCTCCACTGTACCTTGTACACTGTCCCTGTACCTTGTGGACCTTCACTGGTCCATATTTTTTTTTTCTGCTAGGCAATAGGGTTAAGTGACTTGCCCAGGGTCACCCAGCTAGTAAGTGTCAAGTGTCTGAGTCCAAATTTGAACTCAGGTCCTCCTGACTCCAGGACCAGTGCTCTATCCACTGCACCACCTAGCTGCCCCTAGTCCATACTTCTGCAAGGGATAAGGGTAACCAGGAGAGGTCGAGGAAGCAGAGTCATTGGCAGTGGAGATTGGGAAAAAGATGGGCAGCTCCTCTGAGTACCCCCATGATTTTACCCCCTGATAGGACTATCTCTCCTGGGTTTCTTCCCTTTTCCCCCGCTTACCAGCTAGGTGGTACAATGTATAGCGTGTTGGGCCTGGAGTTAGGAAGACCTGAGTTCAAAACCAGCCTCAGATACTTAACCAGCTGTGTGACCTAGGCAAGTCATTTAACCATTTTTTCCTTCAGTTTCTTCATCTGCAAAATGGAAATACTAGTACTTACCTCCCATGATTGTTGTGAGGATCAAATGAGCTTGGGTGGCAGTGCCTGGGATGTGGTTGAGTACTATCATCATCATCATCGTTATTATTATTATAATTCTTTTCCAGCCCTAACTCTACTCATTCCCCTCTGGTCTCTGGAACCCTACTCTACGTTCCCAAACTCTTCTTCTTCCTAGATCACTCCTTCTCACATTCCTTCCATCTTCTTGTTTTCGGTAAAACCTAGCTTCCTCCTAAAGATGCCATGTCTTGGCATTCTTTCCAAAGCCGGCTGCTTCTTCTCTTACAACTCCTGACACACACAAGGCCAAGGAGGAGAAATTGGGGTACTCAGTCCCCACTACCATTACTCTCCCCTTCACTATCACTAAGCAGTCCCCTCAAAGTTCACTCCACCCTGTTCAACTCCTTAATCATTGTCATTTACAAGCTTCCCAGTCATTCAGTCTCAACCCCATAATCTGTTCCTTCTGAGCTGAGTACCTTCTGTTCCTATTTCTTCAGCCTCCCTCGCTCCTGTGTGTCAGCTTCTCTCCAAATTGTCATACCTCAAACAGCTCCCCTGCTCTCCTGCCCCTCTTTTGGTTAAATTTTCCCCATTTGTCAGAATTTCCTGGTTGTGGCTCTGAGTCTGTTTATCCCTATTTTATAGATGTGAATACTGAGACTCAAAAAATATAGTGATTTGCCCAGGGTCATGTAGCTATTAGGTGATTGGCACGCCTCAGTGCCAACCGTGGCAGCCTTATCCACTATATCACGCTGCTTCTCAAGCCACTGGCAAACTATAGAAATCTCATTTACTAGTGCCCAGGTGGATTGAATTCTGGGTAACAGCTTATTTCATTTGAAATGTTATTCTTTGAAGAGAAATGAAAGTATACCCCAACCCATACCTTGTGCAGATGGGTGGTATTAACACAACGTACTCTGTTTTCACCTTCTTCAATGTACTATCAGTTGTGCTGGGTTTTTTTCCTCTTTATTTTAATTCAAAAAAATACTATGTTATATGGGATAGCACTCTAGTATGTGGAGTAGTAGGGATATGATGATGTAGCAAACTAGACATCAATAAAACCTTATTTTAAAAAAAATAAGAAATATGTTATTCTTTTGATGTTGATGGTAATTCTGATTCCCAAGCTTTCAGAAATAGAACTGCAGAATACTTTCCAACTGTTTTAAAAAATTTGTTAACTCAGCCATTTTCTCAAAACTGTAATCTGATTAGAATAATAGTGTTTTACATTTTAAATAGTGTAAGTATTTAAAAATCTGACTTGGTATAGAAATATTCCTATGCCCACCTATTGAAACAGAGACAAGTGATAATAAATATTGAACACTTTCAGATAATTTGCATAAAATGTCTATGTGTTCCATCTATTATTTTTATTTTGTTTTTTGTTTGTTTGTTTTTGGTGAGGCAGTTGGGGTTAAGTGACCTGCCCAGAGTCATACAGCTGAATCTGGATTTGAACTCAGGTCCTCCTGACTCCAGGGCTGGTGCTCTATCCACTGTGCCATCTAGCTGCCGCCATCTATTATTTTTTAAAACAAATCCAAAAACTCAGTTTTGGAGTAGGGAGTTGGAAAGAATTCTCTCATTTGCAGGCTTCCAACTCGAAAGAATAGAAAAGTAAAATAAGCCGCAAATAAAATGTGTTACCTGGTTTAATGAAGACAGTAAAAAAAAAATGGCTGAAGCAAGAGCATTAAATTTAATTTTTCTTTGATATTTCCCTAGTGCATCATTCGATTCTACTGTCAGACTGTGGGATGTCGAACGGGGAGTTTGCATTCATACACTGACCAAGCACCAAGAACCTGTCTACAGTGTAGCATTTAGCCCTGATGGAAAGTACTTGGCTAGTGGTTCTTTTGACAAATGTGTCCACATCTGGAATACTCAGGTAATTGCATGACTTTTATTATGGACATCTATCCAGAAAATGAAACCTAAACCTTAATTGTTAGATCCACAGAACACATAACCAAACAGCTTTTTCTTGGGATGGAAATAATTATTAACTTTTCTTCATATACCCAAGATGGTGGATGGTACATGGTTTGTGGGTAGTTGAGGGCTGTGGAAACTGTTTTAACCCAAACAAATAATTTAAAATGTGAAACAACTGAAAGAAGAATAAAAAAAACCTTATCCAATAATTTTATGCAAACTATTTCCTGAATGATAATGATACATAATGAAGTGTGCTAAATGTTTCACTATTTGGTTGTTTGTCAAAGACGTGCCACAATTCTCTGGCAGGGTTTACGGATTTTAAAATTCTGTGAAAGAAAACAAATATACAAGAAATTTATTGCAAGATTTTGTCTTGGAATCAACTCATGCTTCTACCTAGGATCACGAATAATCCTGAATAGAAGATAATCCCAAAATCTAACTTTTCTGCTCTGGAATACCTTCTTAATTCTGTTTGGCTTCATCTATGATTAAAAACTAATAGCCATTGTGGGGAAAGCACATCATCTTTTCTTTTTTTATTTTTAATTTTTAATTTTAATTTAATTTTTAATTTTTAAAATTAATTCATTTATTTTTAGTTTTCAACATTCACTTCCAAAAGATTTTGAGTTCCAAATTTTTCCCCCTCCCTCCCCACCCTTCACCCCAAGATAGCATGCAATCTGATATAGGGAAAGCACTTCTAAACCCAGCCCAAATGCCATCTGCTTAAGGTAGCCTTTCTTTTTTTTTTTAATTACTTTCTTTTGATTTATCAACCATCACTTCCATAAGCTTTTGAGTTTTAAATTTTTCTCCCACCTGCCTCCCCAAGATGGCGCGCAATCTGATACAGGCTATACATATATATTTAAGGAGGCCTTTCTTAATCCTCACAAAAACAAGTGCACTGTCCTTGTGAACTCTCATATCCCTCTCTTTCTTATGTTTGTGCATACTTTATCCACGTAGATATCACATACTATGCTGTATTCTATTTATTCTCCCCAGTGGACTATAAGTCCTTGAAGGGTCTACCCATGTCCTTCAGCACCTAGATTCTCAAAGTGTTTGGTGAAGGAATGGAAGAACTTTAACCAGTAAGAGATTTAGAAGTATGCTAAGCAGCAGGGAAATGACAACATGGGTTTTGATATTTGCCATAAGAAATTCATAAGTAAATAATTCTCCTTTCAGTAGTTGAAAGATAATTGCTTATTGGTCTATGAAGCAAATAAGGTACAGGATAGGGATTTGTGTCCTAAAATATATCATACAAAAAACATAATTGAAACACTTCACTTTTGAAAACATTCATGGAAAAATTGACCTTTCCATTTATAAACTACCATTCTGAATTTGTGTTGATTTTTTAAAAAAAAAATTCCGAATCCTCTTTCTGTAAAAAATAATTTGCATAGAAAAAAAATGTTAAAACTACTTTAATCCATATTGAATCTCCCCCCAAAAGAAATATATTATTTTAGGTATAAAGGGGGAAAAGTAGTTAATAACTCACCATATTGGAAATGGGAAATGAATCTTACTCCAGCTTAGTAAAGCAAGGCACATGTTTACCTTTTATGGAGGTTATAGCAATTTCTTTTCTATACAGTAGAAAAGCCAAAAATTGACCCAAGGTTTTCTGACATTTTTCCTGTGCTAGAATCTCGTACTTCAGCTGCCTTTTAATTAACCCCAAAATATTTATCCAATGAGAATTTCCTTGGCCCAGACAAAGAGTATTTCCTGCTCTTTCCAGGCTTATATTTATCAATTTAATAGGATGTCATATGCATGATTTCATTGTGTCTGAGGTGTTGGTTACCTGGTACGGGCTTGTCTGTATCCAGAAAAGAATTCAGGTTTTAGCTTTTTGCAAAACCTCCACCGTGATTATTTGATAGTAAACATCAGAATTCTATTTTAAGTGTTAAATTGCATTTTTAAGTGAAAATTAATTTCCTTTTGCAGAGTGGAACTCTAGTACATAGCTACAGAGGCACTGGAGGAATCTTCGAGGTGTGCTGGAATGCTAGGGGAGATAAAGTAGGAGCGAGTGCATCTGACGGCTCTGTAAGCATCTTCTTTATTTGGGGGGTTTTCTTATGAGCAAAACTTAGTGATAGAATCACGCAGTGATTTGAGGATAATGCAAGGAAGGTTCTTCCAACAACATCCTCTTCTGATGCCTCATCAAGGCGTACGGGGGGGAACCCTAAGTTCTCAATGCTGATACTGGAGGAAAGTAAAATATGGCAGATGCCACTGAGCCTGGTCTTGGGGGTGGACTGTATGTCTTTCCTTAGAAGTCCCCACCTAAGTTTTCAGAGACTCATCATTTAGAAGGATCGTTGATCTCAAACCAGACAGGACCTTAAGAGACCATCAGGGACAACTCTTTCATTTTACAAATGAGGAGACTGAGACCCAGAGAAGTTAAACAGCTAACCAGAATTCCACAAGTGGTAAATAAATTGCAGAGCTAGGGTTCAATCCTAGGTACCACTCTGCCATGCTGGCTACCTGGTGATGACCATAGCAACTCAGAAATACTATTTACTCAGGGGTGGGAGAGTTGTGATTTGTTTTCATGGAGAGCATAAAAGTGAGGAAGTCATGGATCTTTTGAGATGTTGAAATATGATAAGGGTGGGCAGAGTCGGATATTTTCATAAGGTGACACCAATGGAGAATGTTCAGTACCTACAGTGTGTAGAATGTTGTGTTAATCTATCATTTTTCTCTTTCCTTGATATGTGGAAGTAACATAATTATTCACTGCGTATTTGAAGGTTAGCTATTGGAAGTCTGGTTTCAGGAGTAGTTATTGTTGTAGAAATCCACATTTCTCTAGCCCTTTCAGTTTTACAAAATAATTTCCTCTCCTTCCTGTCCCCCCCCAAAAAAAAAGTCCTGTGATGTAGGTAGAACAAGTATTATTAATCGCATTTAATAGCTGAGGAAATGGAGAATCATGAAAGACATGTAGGATTTAGAATAGAAAGATGTCCTAGAGATGATCTACTCTAGTTGGAATTCAAAGGAGTGAAATCTTTAAGCAAGTATCTGCTGTCAGCAAGTGCCTATAGTATGCCAGGGACTGTGTACACTTGGGAAGAGTCAAAGGCAAAGAGAAAGAGCCCTTAGTCTTAGAAGACTTGTATTCTAACAAGGGAGACAGGTTATACCTGTAGCATAACAATACTACTTAGTATCCGTGTAGCACTTCAAGGTTTTCAAACTGCATTTGATCCTCACAACAGCCCTGAGATAGAGTGATATTATTAGTTCCATTTTACAGATGAGGAAATGGAGGTTCAGTGTTTTGCCCAGGGTCACCCAGCTAAGTAAAGTGTCTGAGGCAGGATTTTTAATGTTCTGACACACAACTGAACAGCAGCATGTGCTGGACACTGTGTGATCTGGGAGTGATTTGCACAGAGATTAAACACATGGAAGCTGATGAGATTTCCCAGAGAGAGAGAAACAGAAGGAAGAGAAAAGGGTCTAGAACTTGCCCAAGGCAACACAAATAGTAAATAGGACAGCTGGGATTCAAACTTAGGCCCAGAAATTCAAATCCTAGCCCTTACTCTCATGAGAAGAGAATAATCTAGTCTAAATCTCTCATTTTTCAGATAAGAAAACTGAGGCCCAGTTAAGTGATTTTCTCAGTCACACACTGCTTATGAATGTCAGACCTGGAAGTTAAGTCATTCAACAAACATTTATTAAGTACTAGCCAAAAAATTAAGCTGTCCCTGCCCCCAAGGGAGCCTTCTTTCTGTAAAGAGGCCTTATCACCTGACTTCAAGTCCACCACTTTCCATTATACCTTTCTTTGAGATCATCATATGCACTCTATGCCACCTCTTTTAAGCAAGGTTATTAGTGGTTGAGTAGTTGTTTTTCCATTTGTATAATTCTTTAGGTCCCAAATAATTCAGATTTCATAATATTGTAGGTCTTAGGCTGAATCCATGTAGCCTAACCTCCCTCATTGTCCAGATGAAGAAATTGAAGCCTTAGGGAAGATGAGTGGTTTGGCTAAGGTCATACGGGTAGTATCAGAAGTGGGATATGAACTGAGGACCTCTGGCCATGATCTGTATGTGTGTCACGCACTCACTGTCTCTCTGTCTCCCTCTCTACATAGATAGATAGATAGATACATAGATACATAGATAGATAGATATAGATAGTTATTTACATGTTGTCTTCCTCATTAGAATGTAAGCTTCTTGAGGGCAGGAACTGTTTGGGGGGGTTTTTGTCCTTCTTTGTCTCTTCAGCACTGAGCACAGTGCCTGGCACATAGTAGTAATAGCTCCATCACCTGTGATGGAAGGAAATGGCAGCCACTCCAGTATCTTTGCCTAGAACACCCCCCAAAGGTCATGAAGAGTTGGACATGATTGAAAACACCTGAACAGCCCCAACAAAACCTAGTTGGTCTCCTCGCTTCCACTCTCTCTTCCCCAATCCATTCTCTCCACACCTGCCAAAATGATCTTGCTAAGGCACAGATCTAACCTTGCCACTCTCTTTTTCACAGACTTTCAAGAGTTCCCCAGTACTTTCAGGATAAAGTAAAATATTCTTAGCCTGGCATGTAAGGCCCTCTGCAACCTGGCTTCAGCCGGCCTAGGCTGATTTCAGTCACTCTCCTTCACACACTCTCTCTTTGAACCAAATTATATTATTAACTGCTCTTCTGTGCATTTTCACAAATTGCCCTCACTCCTGTGTCTGGAATCCATTCCTTCTTCATTTGTAACTCTCAAAACCCTTATCCTCAGGCGTCCACCTCTGTGTTAAGCTTTCTCTGATCCCCATTTGTCAGTATTCCATCCTTTCTCAAATACTTTGTATTATTGATACGTGAATGTGTTCTTCACTCTTCCCTGCCCCTTAGTAGAATATAAACTTCTTGAGGGCAGGAATGGTTTCATCTCTTTTTTTTTTCCTTTGGATTTCCAGGACCAGGCACATGCTAAGTGCTTAATAAATGCTTTTTGTAGTGGTTTGGCTTATATTCTGGGTGGTTCTTGGGCTGAGCCACCATTTCAAACAGTCATCTGTGAAATGTTAGACTGAATTTGTAGATCACAGAATTGTGTATTTGTAGCCTCTCATAATAATAACGTCTTTCTCTTTCCTTCCAGGTTTGTGTTCTAGATCTGCGGAAGTAAAGGCAAATGCCTATAGAAAAATTTTTAAATGGACCAGCAGTGAATGTGTGGGGTAGCAGCACTCTTCAAAAACAATTCTAACAGCTCAAAACTGTACAAACTTGACTTAAGTTAGAGTGTACGATGAAAACAACTCTCCCTGGCCACAAGGAGTCTAGTATTTTTCTGTAATCTTCATCAAGGAGTAAAACACACACAGACACACACACACACACACACACACACACACACACAGAGTCATATCACAGGGGAAAGGATGGTTTCCACCTGGAACATTCAGCCTTGGAAGCATGAAGCCACCAGCTAGACACTGCAACTGTTTGTTGGGTTTGCATCTGAGAACTCTTTCTGATGGCTGGGAAAAAAAAAACAAAACCATGAAAGCTGTGCCAAAAAACAAACAAAAAAAAACCACACACAAAAAAAAACCAAAACAAAACAAAAAAAAAAGCGAAATGCTGTGATAAACCAAAAGGGAAAAAAATTCCTCCTCCTTGTGGTGTTTTTTTTTCCTTCCAATTTGGACACTACAGTTGCTTTCCCAAAGGACGTTCAAAGACCAGTTTGTACTGATGAAATGCGCGACTTTGTAATCTCAACACTTTCTATTTTCTAGAATTCTTTTTTGTTCAATGGTTTTTCTAACAGCTGGAAAATGACAGCCTGGGCACCTACAGGCTTAGATTGGAACTGGGATTTTCCCTTCTCCCCTGTTCTGTTTTATTCCTCTTCTCTTTTTTTTCCCCCTTTTTTTGGTTTTATTTTCTTTTTATCTGTTCAGTAAGCCCACAGTAGATGCAGCCTGATGGACATGACAAAATTTTTGAAAGACAGTTTCCTCCTCTCTTATCATGCCCACCTTCATCTCTTCATTCACTCCTTTCTTTTTTTTCCCCTCCATGCATTAGACCTTAGCATCTAAGGGGCACTTTCAATAAATTGTGTATTAAGTGCTTTATGTGAGAGTAGAGGGCTAGGGGAACTTTTTACAGGAGAAAAATGACTTATAAGAGAAAGAACCCGGAGTATTTTTGGAAAAAATATTTTTTATGTTAAACGATTTTAAAAACCTAAAATTGCCACCAGAAGTAGTTAGCTTTGTGTGATTCATGTAAAAGACACAGACAGAGTTTGAAGTACTTAAGGATGTAGTATCCCTTTTCCTCTTGGCCTCATGAAATGCTATAGGAAAATGTGGTTGAACAGATGTCAACCTTCTCTCCCCCACTTACTGTGTGAGTTATTTTATTAACACATCAGCTTGCTTGCAGCGTACTAAAAAAAAAATCCAAACTCTTGGTTCTAAGTACAGTATTTCATTTTTCAAGATTTAGGTTCACCTTAGTAGCTAACAACAGACTAGAGGCACCAGGAAGCCACAGAAATTTCCAAACTCATAGGGTATGGAAGGTGCCATTAAAACCTGCCCCCCAAGGCATGATTTCAACTGTTATTCATTCCTTTTTTTTTTCTTTCTTTTTTTTTCTTTTTCTTTTGCAGTAACAGACACAGCTCTTTGGTATCATCACCATTCTAGAGATTACCATTGGCTAGTCATCACAGAGTAGACTTTAAAAGACTCCAAGATCAGACTTTAGAGAATAACCAAAATAAATGTGAGGAAGATTTTTCCTTCCTGAGGATGAAATATGTAGGTAGGATATTATTAATAATTTCTGCCACTCTTTATAATTACTTTCCCTGATGAGAAAATAGGGAGAATGTTTGTTTGAATAATAAATCTTTTTACGATTGTTTTTAAGATAGTAATTTCTTTGTGTTCCTAGCAGAGCTCCATATTATTGTGATCAGGTGATCTTTTGCACTATTTTTTCAAAACCCTACACTGGCCTATTTTTAAGATTAGCAATAGGGGAAGATACTTGTGAGAGGAAACAAGAGGCTCTCTTTTTTTAAATCATGCATTTTACTGCAAGCCTAGGAAGGGATCAGTGGATTGGTCTGGTGATTGGAGCCCCTGTGGGCTGCTGATAACAGACAGATTCCAGCTGGGTGCATGTTCCAGGGATGATCAAGGGTATTCTTGAGAAAATGAATTGTCCTCTGTGGAGAGGGAAGCCAGTCTCCATGAAATGAGAAGAGCTTCCAACAGTATTTTGGAACAGAGTTGAAGCAGTTACCAAAACTGTTGCATGGTTTTTTTGTTTTGTTTTGTTTTTATTAGTTGTTCCAGGATGATTAACGAGATACCACTTGGGTATTTAAATTATCCAAGATCTGTCCTCTAGAGGACCAATGAAGTGCTCTGCTTATGATCAGAGTATTTTTTTTTTCAGCTACGTGTTCCCCAGGCACTTAAAACAAAGCCAAGCTAGAGGTTTCACCATTCCCTTCTTAGAAGACAGTGGGCCCAATTCATCGATTTTCAAATAACATGACACCTACCTTGCTGTCTAGGTAGATTTGTGGAACAGTGTAGTTAGTGCCATCTTTAGTCCTCTCTCTACTTGCCCCACATTCACCCCTCCCCCAAAGTAAATCACTGTACAGATTGAACAGCCTCAAAAGGTAGTGGCCCCATTTTTAATGCTTACCACCAGTGACCACCCCACCCCCCCCAAAAAAATGGAGGCAAGGAATCTGGTAAGAAGAACCAGTTAGACAATCTCAACATTAATGTGGGCAGCCAGGGTCTTGCTAAAGTATTTTCATTTTAACTCTTGGTAAATTTGAACCCCATTTGCATGATCAAATTCAATTACAGCACTGTGCTAAGGAGGCTATGTTAGCTTTGCAGAAGGAGAAATTGCTCCAGGCCACAGATGAAACCCTTCATCCTAGCCATCTGTCTTTCAAAAACATGCCACTGGTTCACAAAGAATCAGATAACAGAGTGTGGATGATTCCACACAAATCCATCAACCCCCTCAAAAAAAAATCATTTTGTTAATCCATTCAGCAAATATTTTATCGAGTAACTACTTACTCAAGATGTCTGCCCTACTACCAATGAGACAGTAGAGTCATCTTTATACTATTCAAAGGACAGTTTGTTTTATTTTTATCAATTAACTTTGTTTACAATTCTTAAACATTGTGAGAAACAGAAGTACTTAATGACTTAGTGACCAAATGCCCTAATTTCTGTGAGCATACTAAATAAATCTATCCTTCACTGACTGTCTTCAACTGGGTTTGAAAAGATGAAGAGCCATGTTGGAGGTCCTGTGCCTGAGCTCAGTGTAATAAAGAGTACTGCATCTTTCACCTAGGAAGCATTGGGTTGGTCCCATGGGGGGACAAAAAGGGCCTAACGTGACAGGGTTGAACACGCACTAACCCCGTGCTACATTGTAGGACTTTACTTTTGATTTGTCTTTAAAAAATATATATATAGATCATTTCAGAGCCAAGTGACGTGCACTTTGTCCAACGTAAGGGTCTGCTTTTTGTTTCTTGTTATTTTTTCCTTTTTTAAAAAAAAAATCTTTGTTTTGCCTTTAAAAAAAATTGTGTTTCTTGTCAAATGCAGAAATGTTTTCAGCCACTCACTGAAGTTTTTGAATTCTGGCTTGTGCAGTTTTTATTGTCTGTGTCAGACTTGCAGCCAGACTCAGTTCTCCGTCAGCATTTCCCAGGTTCAGTTAAGTCAACATCGACCCGTTTTGTTCCCCCCGCCACCCCCTACTCACCCACACACTTAAAAATCACCTCGTGTGTCGTAACTCATTTGTTTCAAGGAGAGAATCAACAGATCATATTCAGTGTCTTGAATAAATTGCTATATTTTGATATTAGAAAACGTTGTGGGCATTGTTTCTTATTCTTCCCAGGTCACTCGTGTATATGTTCACATTCCTGCCAGGAGATTAATAGCTTAGATTCTTTTCCAAGTTGCTAGTCCATTGAAGGTGAATCAAGCCTTGTTTTGAAATGACTGTGCCAAAAAAAAAAAATTACAAATTGTCTTGTTCATGAAGCCTTGCCCGCCTAAGACTTATTTATGTATCATCAAAACTACATAGTTCAAAACAATTATAGCTACATATCATTAGCTGGAAATAGCATTAACTGCTGTTTATGTCAAGTACAGCTTTTTTTTTAGAAGGAGGCTCCTTTTCATTATTTATTTTATCTCAAGCAAACATACTCCTATTAGTCAGACGCCCAGACCTTTGGAAGTTTGAGTTTTTGAAAAATTAGATTAAAGCTGAAGATCAAAAGACGAAGATAAAAAAGAAAATTAGTTCAGACAGGTTTTTTTTAATCTATAAAGCCTCCAACATGTTATACTTAGCTCCTTCTAGATTCAGTAAATGTAAAATAAAGATTGTAATACTGTAAGAATCGTAAATGAAGTGACAGAGTGGGAAAGTATAGTGTGTGTGTGTGTGTATATAATAGCTAGCATTTATATAGCATTTTAAAGTTGCCAAAGTACTTTGCACATACCTCATTTGATCCTTACAACAACACAGACAAGTAGGTACTATTAACTTCATTTTACAGATAGGCTGAGAGGTTAAGTGATTAGCCCAGGATCCCACAGCTAAGTAGTTTCTGAGGCAAGATTTGAATTCAGATCTTGACTCCCAAGTCCAGTACTCTATCCACTATCACACCTAGCTGCCTCGAAAGAGCCACAACCTAAATATCCAGACAAGAAAAATTAACTTTTAGTTTCAGACAGTTACTCAAATATGCTTTCATTTGTCAAAACAGTAAGAGGACATTATCTTAAGAGCAGGAAAAAAAGTATCCACTACTACTAATATAACTGTAAACCTAATTTAATCATAATCTTTCACAGAAAAAAAAATTAGACTTTTACATCCCTGTAATCCCACTGTGCTTCTAAACGAGAAATGGAAAAGGCATGAACAATTTTTCATTAAGTGATGTCAACACTTCTTTGAATGCCACAGAAACTCCAGTTTCCTATAAGCTTTTGTTGTGGATAGAGCCCTAAGTTTGGAGTCACGAAGACTTGAATTCACATGTAGCCTCAGACACTACGTGATCTTAGGCAAATCACTCAAGCTCTGCCTCAGTTTCCCCTCCTGTAAAATAAGGATGATAATAGCATAGTGCCTGGCACATAGTAGGTACTTAATAATTGCTTGTTTCCATCCTAGTCTTATTTACCTTTTTCAGTAATAAATCTTTGTGGATAGTAGAGGAATCAGAATAGATACAGCTGGGACCAAAAGATAAAAATGTCTTGTAGGCAGTGGCAATAATCCAGAAAGATCCCAGCAATGTATACCTTGAGGTATTCTGGGCAAGTAGTTGGGGTGTTGGGAAAGTATACTATCAGATAATGCAAATAGCATTTCATAGATGAGGAAATGGGCGTGGAGAGGTAAAGCAACCTGATTCACAGCTGCTAAGAGGCAGGGCCAGGATCTGAATCAGTCTTCCAACCCCATGTCCAATGTTCTTGCTGTGCT